AAAATATTTTTTCATTTTTTTCTGAAGAAAACCAATATGGAAGCTTAATAACATTCTTAAAATTGTTTGCTATAAAAGATTTACCATTAGTAAGGTGAAAATTTGCATATGAAATAAAACTTTTAACCTGGAAAGTGTTTTCTAATTAGAAAATATATTTCTACACAATTTCAGATTGTCATGCCAATCAAAGTAGCAATCTATTTAACCATTAACTGCAATGATGAAAGAATGGATATAAATATCAATTTAAATGTTTTGGAAGGTTAGAAAATACACTCACAATGTTATTTGCATATTGCCTTACTTTACCTGCCCAAGAAAATGGATTATTCCTAAAAGTAAGCCTCAGGATTCAAAACCATGCAATCATTATTGAAAGTGTTGAGATGAAAAGCAAGCAGTTTTTATCAGATTACTCTTAATTATTACAGGCCTCAGAAAATAGGGCTGATAATTTCTCATATATGCATATATGTCCTTAGAAGATATGAGGTTTATCTGAGCAGATTATAAAACATGCTAAAAAAGTGGTCACATTGGAGCAAACCAAAATCAACAATTTTAATGCAAGACCTATCAAGACTTTTCATAACCTCAATTTGCCATAAAGCTCAAGCCATCCAGTTCCAACTGATGGATGCACTTTGATGCTGACAGAATTGTAAAAGTTAAAGACTGCCCCCTCATAACATTTCATCAGCTGTCAAAATAAAGTATGAGAGTATAATCTCATGCTAAATAATAAGTTGAAAAAATAATAAATAAGATTGACAAGATCTCCATAATAAACCTTGCATTTTCTAGCTCTGGCTAAAGGAGCATGAGGACTTCTCTCATATGCCTTCTTTTCATTTTGTAAATTTCCACATCCTGGTCTGAACTCTTTATGTGTTTTTCTAGTCCCAAAGTTACAAATAAAATAGATTTGAATGGAAACATTGCCATAACTATGAGAACACAGAGATTTACTTGTATTTCTGATCCTCCAATGACAGGTCTGCTATAGTCACACAGCATTTCTTAGGACTTTTCGTATCATGTATAAAATTAAGCTTTTGATAGCTGTAAGCATTCAAATTTCACATGTCAGTTAGTTTTGGACTTCTGCAGAATAACACAAAGCATAGGCAGCAATCTTAATAAGGAAATATTTAAATAGCAAGAACAATTTAATTAATTATAATTTACTGGCACTTGCATTCTTTCTCACTCATATCTACACAAGATTATCAGCATAGAAAATCACAGAGTTTTCATTATTAACATTTATATGACCAAGCCAGCATTTGAAAACCTACTTATGTCTTTTCTGCTTCACTCTTCATCATCAATAATGTCACCAAGTTAGAACTTCATTTGAAACCCAAGAATTTGAACAAATTATAGTTTTTCTGCAGAATAATAGATCTACAGAGTAAGACAGCACCAAAGGTATGAAGTAATCAGGAGTACTCGGAAGATATGAGCAGGCAAAACAGAAGTGGTAAGAAGAAATTTTTAGCAACAACTGTGAAAATATTCTTTCTTCAAGAAAATACAAACCCACCACAATATCCGTCTTGCTCTCTTTGCATTTTGCTGCCTCAAATCTGACTTTGATCTCTAACTCTTTTACCATATGCTTCTGTTCTCTATTAAGAAATACAAGGAAGCAGAATTAATTTCCAGTCCTGGCTGAACAAAATTCACATTAAAATGAGTGTGATATTCTGTGCATTAGATATGCTTTGAGATTATTATTCTCACAGTTTATTGAAGTGACTCCAAAAAATTACTTAGTCTTATTGCTATAGTAGTTGAATCAATAATTTTTCTTGCTTTTCGGGATGTCAAATTTAAACAAAATAAATAACTATTTTTGGAGTCCACTCTATTCTACAGTCCCTGTAGAACCTCCTGTTCTCTTTCTTTTTCATTGTTATTGAAAAATAGGTACAATTTCTGCACTGTTTTCACATAGTGTAGGATATTCATTCTCCCTTCAGTGGTCCTGGGTGTGCTATTCTGTTTTCCCCAAAGCAATCAATGACTTGAATTAGGCAAAGTGGAATGCTACAGTAATCAGAATCTCAGTTACCTCCTGCTAACCTGGATGCATTCCTAAATAGCTCCCACTATGAGCTTCAATCACATCTTGCATACCCAAACCTGATAGCCTAATCTCTTAACAGGTGGACACATCTGTTCTACCCTGCCAAATTCAACTTACTGTGATTGTGCTTTGAAATATTTGCATACTTTTTTCCAAAAACTATGCACATCTGTTATGGTTCAGTAAAATAAAAAGTGACATTTTAAAATTTTTCAATGCTTGTACATGTGGACATTTCAAAATGTCCTTCAAATGTTTTGAAATATCTTTATATTTCATGACCTTTGGTTTTGTTTAACCACTAAGTAGGTTATCTATTTTAAAAAAACTAAGAAGTACAGATAGAAATAATAAATGAGAAATACGTATCTGCTAACAAACAGAGAAATCATCCATCATATAAGAAGGTTCATACTATAAACAGAATAGCTTGTATGCTTGAATATTGAGATTGCTAGAAAGGATAATTTCTTTTTAAGTTATACCTAATAAGAGGACAAACAATTGTCCCATGTATTTTAATTTTTTCTGAAATATATGAAAGGTAGAGAAGCATGGCTAGATAAATAAACAAGGGATGAATAGGAGTAGAACAGAAGCAGTACAGAATATGAGGAGTGACTTTGAGGGTTTCCATCATATTCTTCAGTGAGAACAGATACTTTTACCCAGATATATTTTGAAAGAAATGGCTGAATTTATTGGTTTGGGGGTTTTATTTATAGTAGCTGAAGAGAATTCAATATTAGATCAGTCACTAGGCAATTCCATACTTCTTCCTATTGAAAGATATCAAAACCAGTTAGTGAGAGTGTGAAGAGGCTGTAAAAACTGTTACCTGTGGGCTTTATCAGGCTGTAGTTTGAACCTTATTAAGAGTATGAGTCTCATTCACCAAGACAGTTCGTACAGGTCAATTAATACTTTGGAGATCAGATAGGATTAAATCCACAGAACAATTTAGTTGCATGTTATATCAACTTCACATTTTAGGTGGACAAATAAAGAACTGCAAACCTAAAACAAATAGATTTGTTGCTGCTCTACTCTGCAGGCACTTAAAACTTCTGTTTCCTTAGATCTTCAGGAATTAAAATTATATTTGTCCAAGATTTCCTTTATTTTGACAAGGTTAGTGGTCTGGTATTTAAATTCTATTCAAAATTGCAAATAAAACTGTTCTTTATTTATCTTACTAGGAAGGCCACATCTGAAGTAAGTCTAGTAGATTTTGTCTGGCAAAACATAGCATATTTTAGTAATCTTGCTTCTTCTAATCCAAAATTTTGAAGGCTTATCCGCAGTTATCTCCCAGGCACTTGAGGGCCAAAGGCTATTTCTCTTCTTGAGACAATGCATGAAATGAAAATAACATACCTATAATATTATTGTATATCTATTATGTGTGTAGTAAAGAGTTATAATACTAGTTAATATGATTAAATAATTGTGTCTCCCTGAATGTAAAAAGCAAGCAGGAATCTGGAGTACTCTCTATGCCAGGTGCAAGGGCTCTTGCCTGGGAAGAATTTCATCTAGGTATCGGCTTGTGCTTCAGTGGATACCTGTACATTATTCTTTGCATATCTTGAAACGTGATATGTTTTTAGCATATGTTGAGCAGTCTCAATGTTACAAATTCTTGCTAGTGGTTCCTCCTGCTCTTTGTAATTATTGTCTGCTAGAAGGAACTGCTCCAACAGAGCAGTCCTCAAAGGTACTCTTGTGAAAATGCACCAAAAGTTTTAATTTTATCACACTGAGACTTCATGTTACACTTCTAACAATTTAAGAGTCATATACTAGGGATTGCTTAGAGACAGGCAGGCAGGATTACTAATGGACTGAGGAGGATGGTATAATTCCTTACGAAAATAAAGAGCTCTCATATCCACATTCGAGAGCCACAGCTCAGACTGGTAGATATCAGAACAAAAGAGAAAATGTGAAATATTTTTACATCTAGACATGTAAAAAGGAAGGAGGAAAGGGAGGGAGATAAGATGTGCAAGACTGCTCACACTACACCCATTTCCTAGCAACTGTACTCAGCAGGTTTGCCTTTCTCTTAGGCAAATCATTGAACCATATATTTTATACCTCATTTGGTTAGACCTGTCTTAGTAGTAAGGTGCTAGGAAAGTTCAGGAATAGCAAGAAGATTTTGCAGTCCTGTTGGCAAGAGCCATATTGGCATGTCAGAATCTATACATTAAATCTCATATATTTCTAGATTTAAAGAAATATCCCCTAAGTAAAGTGTTAGAAAAAGAAATATTTTTTTGACAGTTTCAAAGTCTTCTGATGTAGCTGAGGATGCACATCTTTTTTATTCTTTAGTATCACATCAATTACATATGGCAAAAAATTCTAAACGTACTCCTAACCTAGCTTGGAAACCAAACTATTTAGAAACAAATATTCCAGGCAAAAAAAAAAAAAAAAAAAAAAAGGGGGGGGGCGGGAACAAGGTTTCAGAAATTCTTTGGTCTGATTTACAGCAAAATCACAATCTTGGAAAAATTATTTTCATAATTTATGAGAGCTGACTCATATCAGAGTTAATAGATTTCATTTATAGTGTAATAAAATAATCATCAGTGGTGTCTCAAATTGTAAGATATGAAAATTAGAATTCCAGGTACTTTTTAGCAGTTATTTTCAGGTAAAAAGAAATCTTGGGAGGATGAGGAAAGTAAAAGGGGACATTTATGGGATGAATTTCATTTTTAATAGATTTGGGAATATTTGATCCTTTGAAAAGTTGGAGAGTGTTTTGCCAAAATTATTTTTGATATTTGAAGTACTTCAGACCTCAGAATCTGAAGCCTATTCAAAATGTATTGTATAACTTCAAGAGTTTCCTGTAGATCTCCAGAAGCTGACTGATGACTGTGCCACACAGGTTGCTAGACAACAAACTTCAAATCATCAAGAGCTCTCTCTTCAAGCTACCTGGACTTTTGCTAACAGAAGAATTGTCTCCCAAAGTCCAAATCTCATTTGTCCCACAAGCCTTTTCACTCAGAGAGGCAGAAAAGTACGTATTAATAATTATGACTGGAGAGAGTCATAGGAGCATTCACCTATTCTAGATTCTGACATCTGTCAGTATGTCATGTGGTATAAATGAATCATTACAAAGATCCCTTGAAAAAGTATTTAGGGAATATGACATAAAAGAAAATTTAGGATTTTTTTTTTTTTTTAGTGCAGAGCATATGTTGGTGTTATATATGTATACATAGCTATATACATTAATATACAATACACTAAATATAATACTTACATTCCCTGTGATCTTTGACTTGATGGAAACATACATTTACCATGCAATAATATTTTTAAAGGTCAAGAAAGAAATCAAGTTTCAGCTAGGATTTTATCTTCCATGAAAAACATTTCCAATTACTGTTTGGAGACATCACTTAATAATAGAGCTGTGAAAATCCAGTATATATTCACTATCACAGACCATTATTTGACAGTGAGATATATCACTCCTATCTAATTCATATATTTAATTTTCTGAAAATCTAATAAATCTCAAACCATTCCTTCACTCTGATAGCATAATTTGTCGATATATAAAAGAAACAAAGAAAAATCTAGTTTCAGAAACTGATAAGAATCTTTCTCTCCTCATTGTCTGTATATAGGGATTTTTCAGTACGAGCTAAATTTGTTAACTCTTCCTGCTGGAATCATGTCAAAGATTAGAGGGTATTTTTCTATAACTAAAATAAAAAAGAAAACATGCAATTAAAATTAGGCTTACATCCACTTTATAGAAAAAAAAAATCTTTTCTCAACATAAACTCTCACACACATATCTGTCATCACAAGAACTAAAATCATTCAGTAAAGGATAAGTGACTCCTTTCTGTCAAAAAAAAACTTTCCATTTTTTTATGGAGAAAGAAACTCCGCTGGAACTGATCCCCAGTGTTGCATTAACTCAAGTTTCCCATTGTATTTTAACACTCCAGCTTAGTATCAAAATGTTGAATTCCCACTGACATCTCTGGATAGAACATGTGGCACGTTTCTTGTCACCAAATGGTTGTGAAGGTTAGAAGAAAGTCCATGACTACCCTGTAGGCTCTCCAAAACCAACAGAAGCCTCCAATTTATCCACTGTCTTTTGCCTAGTTTGACAAGGTCAAAGTTCTACCGTGTCTTAAATACCCAAGAAAAGTCTACAGCTGTGCACAAAGCCTACATCTCAGCAGCTCTGGAAGCAAAACACTCTTTTTCCAACTGTGATTTCTTTAACACTTTACTTTTATATGGAACCTGCTACAGCCTGAAATATGTTGGAGAAACGTAGGTAACATACCTCTGCAAAGAGTTTTCTACAAGAATTTTAGATAAAAGTAAAAATGATTAAAGGAAATTTAGCTTCTGATGTGAATGCAATTACAGGTCTAATTCTGCTTTCCAAGCTTAGAATTTTATAATTCCTTTTAATTCATTGTAATGATGATAAAATAAAATTGGACTAATAATACACTCTATATGTTTGCACCAGTGGAATCCCTCAATACTAGTGAAGTGAAACAGGCAATTATTGTCTAGCTGCTCGGAAGAACAAGGAAGGCAGAGATATTATTTAGAATAGATTAATAATGCTGGAATTAAACTGGGAAAAAAACTTAAAGTCAGGCTTAATTTAAGGGAAAATACTATGAAGACTGTCGGATACCTTAACAAGGGAAATTAAACTGTCTTGCGAGACTCTCTGGACAAAATTGCTACTGACTTTTTGTGTCCATTTTGGAAGATCAGCTTTTAAAGATGTTCAGTAGCACATTGTGAGGAATGTTAATGCTTATAGATTCAAACACACCCATCACCAGTGGCTACAGCTAGGTGTTGAACAAGACAAGGAAAGAGACTGATAAAAGGCAAATCCTGTGATGTGAGATAGTGTTTTTATACCAAAGTCCTTAAAACAGTGACTCAGCTATGAAAACAGCCCTCTGGGGAAGTACAAGGATATCCACCTGTAGGCCTGAAGGCTTTCATTGCTCCTGAGGAGACACAATTGACTGAAGATGCTGATATAAAGGCAGCTGTAACATCTTAGACAGTGACATCAACTATTAAAGACTCCCAAAGTGTCCTGTAATCCACAGCATTGCATCATTCAGCATGAAACTTCCCAAGCAGGGAAGGCACTTGGGCATTCCCATGGAGCCTGAATATAATAATAACACTCTGGACTTTGTGTTTTATGGGCTTTCCCCACCGGGAACAGATCAAGACTGTGACCATTACTTTAGCAAAACTGGTACCATCACCTTGACCACCAGACATAGTTAAATTGCAACAACCAAGTTTCATTGCTGAACACATGGGTAGTGGCTATTTACCTTTTTACTCTTATTTTTTCATTTTCTTTCTTTCTTTCTTTTTCTTTCTTTCTTTCTTTCTTTCTTTCTTTCTTTCTTTCTTTCTTTCAGTTTCTTTCTTTCTTTCCCTTCCTTCCTTCCTTCCTTCCTTCCTTCCTTCCTTCCTTCCTTCCTTCCTTTCCTTCCTTCCTTCCTAATTCCTAGATGTTTGTCTCCTATCCAGCTGGGAGCTCAATACTATCCTGCTGGGAGCTAGGTAACAAGTGAGCAGAACTCAAAGGGTTACCTGGCCACTGCTTACTCAAATACACCTTCAGACCTTAGTTCTCCAACACCGTAAGGAATAGCCTCAGATCAGCAGAAACTGAAACTTATTGTGCTGTATATTTACTATCTCAGAATCTTGGTAACTGTTTGCTAATTTAATTTGTTGTGACTAATACATTGAACCAGTGTTTCCTGCTGTTATAGTCTGCAAGAGAATTTAGTTATAATGATGGCTAAACTCAACAGCAAATTTTAACAGCATGAATTATGGCACCATTATGCAGAAATGTCTAGGAAATTATGCAATTGTATCTACCACAATATAAAACTCAAATATAGTAAAACTCTCTTTGTTTCTTTGACACTGTTAGCCTGGGTGTCAGCCAAAATGTAAAACTCACAAAGGCTTTTTTTTTTTTAAATCCTGTGGGCATTTTAGAAGACTGTTATCTGAAACTCTAGATCTGAATATTAGCGCTACTGATAGAAAAATTGCATTTGTTTATGCAAACTGGATGCTTATAACAGATAATAAATAACAACCAAAATATGATTCAAATGTCTTAGAAAATATTACTAATAAGCATATAATCCAAAGTGATTTATAATGCATAAAAAATATTAGATTAGCAAATATGAGAACAAAATGAGCCAAAGAAGTAGAAAATGCTCATCAGACACTGAAAGGCACAAACTTTAACAAGCTTCCATTAAAAATGCATATGAATGCAAAAATAAAGAAAATAAAGGAATGTGGGACTGTAATTTGATAACACTGCAAACATTACATATTGTGCTAAATAATTTGCCAAGCAAGTGACGCATGTTGCAAATAGCAAGAGACAAACTTCAAAAGCTTTTCCAGCCCTCTGTGTACAAAGCATCCAAGTCTTTAATCAACTCTCTTCTACCCACTTTCCCTAATTTCCTTATCCTAAACTATTCCGCACTTTACTAACCCCTACAGCTTGAATTCACTGGGTTTTTTTCAACCCCAAGTTCCTTCCACTGTCCTGTTCCCCTTCCAGCTCCACCACTCCCTTCATCTTTTTGAATATTCTTACTATAGGTCTTCAACAGAGTCTGCAATGATATTTCAAAGGCTCCAAGAGGCAGGTGTTGCAAAGTTAAACTCTATGCAGTTCTCACACTGCCATTGTCAAAATGCACATGTCCCACAGCACGTGAGAGAATGGGTTTGGAAGACGACAGAATGGCTGCATTCTTTCAATCAGATCTCCTGGGTCTTTTTCCCTTTTCTTCTTCACGTTTTATCACCATCTGATGGCAGAACCTCCAAACACTGCTCTGAGTCATCGTGGATGCTACAGAGCAGTCAGTGCTGTGAATTGGTTGGGAAATCACCAACTGCATATCATCCCTGACATACTTGTGGTTCTTCTGCTGCTGGCATATATTGCAGATACAAGTAAAATCACTTTCCAGAAGAATTATCAACATCTAATTCTATATTTTATCTAATCTATCACACTCCAGTGAGGACCAGTTCTATTCTTCTCCAAAAAAGCAGAATTAAAGGAATACAACCATGTATTAAACACCACAGCCTTTGCTATGCTCTTCCAAGTTTTCCAGATTTACAGTGCACACTTGATCCCCAGCAGAACATGACTTGACTTTCATCTCTTCTTCCAACTGAATATTTTTCAATTACTAGCAGTATGAAAGGAGCTGTATGAAGTATGAAAAGAGCTGTGTGTAGAGAGGCAAAAATAAAAAAAACAAAAGGAGCTATGATGTTTGACAGATGGGACACTTGTGATAGGAAAAAAAATGTATATGGTTGAAAGGAGATGCATGAATATGAGATAAATTGTAATATTAAGTAAGGATAGTTAAATCTTGTTTTTATAGGTTTGTACCAGACATGTGTGCAAGTAGCTACTCAAAAAACATATTTCCACAAAATAGTCTGTGTTTCAGCCTTCAATCACATTCTGGGTGGCTTTCCAGCATGGGAACCAAGGTATGTTATTAATTTCAGGTCATTTCCATGGTGGATACTATTTTTGTGCTTGCAGTAGTTAGAAAATATCAAGTGCAGCAGTTATCTGGATAGGTGAAATTTAAACCTGTGAAACCATTTATTCACAAATCTGTGCATTCAACTATTAAAAAAAAAAAAAAAAACTCAGCAGATTTAATTAATTTCTTCACTAAGTTACATATTAGTACTATCTCCAAGGACTCATTATGGGCTCTTGAGTATGCACTCAAAGTAAAAACAGGGACGTTTTCTTACAGAAATACCACACTCATACTGTCTCCTGCAGAGACTGTTATAAACTACTATAATGATTTATTGTAACAATTGTAATTTCTTGTTTAGATTAGAACTAATTTTTTTAATGTTATAAAAATTATAAAGGTAATTCAAAGTTCTGTACTGTCAAAGATTCTGTTGCCCAAATTTGTGAAAATCAGTTGTTATTTACTTATTAAGATTAGTCATTAGGAATAAATCTTAGAGATATGGAGCTTTATCTCTGTCTGTGTATTTGCCTTTTAAATAAATCTAACTCTCTGAAAATAACATGGGCTTGGAAAAAACTATAAAAATCATAACAGTCACATTTCAAGAAACTTTATTTAAATCCATATACATGGTGTCCTAGAAACTGTAATATAGCCTATCTATCGGATCTGTCTATAAACATTTGTCTTATGTCAAGTTTCTACTCTCCCTTGGAAACTTGATTAATTGAGTGAGTACAGAGAGCACCAAGTAAAGAAAACTGAGTCTTGTAGGGTAGCAACTGCACAGTTAACAATATGAATAAAGAATAATATTTATAATAAATTGAAAATATGTAACATGAAAATAATTTCTCATATACTAACCTGTATGGTGAATTAAAATTGAAACATGTAAGGTATTGATTAGACAAAAGATGTTAAAATCATCATCCTCTGTTTTTTCCTGATGGTTTTTGGATTATTGTTGTTTTTTTTTCTCAAAGAGAGGATTATGTAATTATTTTACATGGCTTTTCACTGACCCTTTGAGATTTCCTGGATATGAATAATTTATTATTTAAAATTTCACATCATTGACATATTGGTTCTGTGGAATTATAATCTATTTCTCATTGATTTTGAATTCTGTCATGTCCTTTTTTAAACTACAAAAATTCAGCTTTTATACTACATTATTATTTATCTATTTTTGTGTTTCAAACATAGGAAGATAAGTACATTTCCTGAAGTAAGTATTTTAATTTATTATATTGTCTTTATTATTATTTATAGACAAATCTAGCAATTTCTGAAGACCGCTCACAGACAATATAAAGGTAAGAAAATAAAACTCTATGAAAGACCACCTAATTTTATGTTGTGTTGATAAGCAAAGGCTGTCAAACAGGGAAGAGTAAGATCTCAATCTATTAATACTTTCTTCAAAATTAATGAAGGAAAGAGATTAACTTCTATAGATGTAAAGTATAATTCTCTCCACTGAATGAATTACTGGGTGAAATTCTACGACCTGTATTACTCATAAGGTCAGAGTAAGAGTTTATCATAATGCTTTTCTGGTCTTAAGCCTGTAAATCAGACTACCTAAGGATGAAAATTCTAAGACACTTTTATACCTAAGGAGAAAACAGTTTAACTGAGATTGAAAAACTCCTTAATAGTTAGAGTCTGGATATCCATGTGTTTTACAATCCCTATCCTTCCTCCTTACTAATATTCAAGTTGGAAGTATTGCATGTCCCACCTTTACCAATTTAGAATTAGAAACCATCAAAAAAAGGTTAGATTTAGAGGTTAGTAAGTATGTTGTATGAGTAACCCTGCAGAAAGCAAAGGTCAGACTAGATGACACAATTGACTTTTTTCTCTGCTTTTAATATCTGTGGTTCACTGACCTGGCATTCTTCCAAAGACACTTCAACAATTCTTTGTTCTTTGCTTCCATACTTGTAACCCAAAGGGAAGGCATGTGATAATCCCAAATACAGAAAGAAGAAAAATCAGAAATATTGTACATGTAGAAAGTGACAATACATATTTAAGTTATAAATCAGGAGAAAGATTTACAGAAGTATTTTATATGCCAGAAATGTAAATGTGTGCTTGCTGAGATTAATAGAATTAGGTAACTGGATACTATTGAATAACTGCACCTTAATGTCTATAAATACTGCTGTTAATCCACTAGTAAGAATTTGGGGGTTTACCCTTTATAAAGAATTGACCCTCTCTGAATGTTTTTCTGGTAAAATAAAGTTAATTTCAAATGGATAAGTGTGTGCATGTTCATGCAACATTTCTGCTTTTAGAAAATAGCAATGTAGTAGGATTATATAAATAATAACTGTGTTTGAAATATTATTTTTAATTCATGGATGTAATAACAACAGTCAAGCAAGGAAATAAAATCTTACTCTTAGGTACATATCCCTCTTCAAATCAGCCACAGAAACACAGCCTATCTTGTCTTAGCACTTAGTAGTTTTCTGAAAGAGAAGAGTGAATTTAAGAGCTATGGAAAAGAACTCCAACACTTAATGTAGTTGTTGCACTGTAACACACAATTATACTTCCTTCATGTTCAGAGTACCAGTGTAGTGTAAAATACAACTGCCCAGACTTCAATTGTTGGATACCTTTGTCATGTTATTCTCTCAGTCTTACAATCTCATCTGAAGTACAAGGCAATCATCTTTTTAGTTTTAATTACAAAAAATTACAAAAAAACCAGCTTTTATACTACATTATTATTTAGCTATTTTTATCTTTCAACAAGAGGAAGATAAGTACATTTCCTGGAATAAAAAAAAAGAAGACTTATTATTTATTGATTGAGCATTTCATATGCAAAGCAAAGGAAATAAAGACATCTCCACATTCTCTCATTTTGAGAAGGATAATCTCATTTTTCTCAAGGTGCTTTTTAAAGGCTAGTTTTCATGGTTCCTAAAAAACATTCTCTACAATTCACAGTTTCTTCTTAGCTTGATGATCAGTCTGCATTTGCCCTTTCCCACATTGACTGAATCAACAGCTACTACCCTTTCCTCTCAACAAAAGAGCTTAGTAGGTGATTTTTTGCCCAAGGAAGTTGCATGATCTTCCCTTTGGGTAACCTGCAATGCAGTGGGACACACTGCAGCCTTTTTCTGCTAGAACAGACTTTTTTACTGTAATTCTTTCCCTTTCTTCATGTAACTATCCATAACAGGGAATAAAAGTGGCTAGAAAGCATCTAATCTGATATTTTGCATTTGCCTGGCTGCTTGTAATGTCTGCCTGATTTTGTATTGCATGATGATAACAATCTTTAAGATTAATAGGTGCTTTGCATAGTGGGATATAATACTTTACTCTGCAAACTCAGTCTACTTTAAGACTTCAGTCTTTTTTAAAAACTGTTCATTTTTGCAAAACATGTTATTTTGGATTTTTAGTTGGGAACAAAATTGCTATAATTTGACCAGCAGATATAAGTCAACTTACAGGTCAGTAACTAGATTTCTTTCAACTAAACTCTTTGAAAGGTCTCATCTTGTACATGTTCCAAGAGCTTTCTTAAAAAATACTAACACCAGACACAAATCATGTTTATTTGGGATTTTGTTTAAAACTTATCTGGATATTATGTCAACCTTTACAAAACAATAATATGGTAGAGTGCTTGTTTAGAAAGGGGGAAAATTACTCCACTGCTCCCTTGAGCCCTGGGGAAAATATCTTACAGCCACATTTCTCATTTCCATGGGAAGGCTGTCCCTAGGTTATAGAGTTCACTTTTGCAAAAAAGACTGACCATCCCCTTATCCCTCCCGACTGACACTACGTCAAAAAATACATACAGATTTCTTGTATCATGGTGATGGATAGAAACAAGAGAAAGACAAATGTGTTTCTGCAGCGTAACATTTAGCCTAGTGGTTAGTGGTGGAAGAATAAAAACTAAGGTCTCAAGGTACATTTCCTATGTAACAAAACATATGTGTTAGGAGCAAGCATCAGAATAAAGGCATCTCTGCTCCAGCATAAATAAGATCTTTGCTTATAGAGCCCTGACTGTCCCTTCTTTATTTTCCATTCCAGCTTTTTTTACCAAAGTGTGAAGGTGACATATTACTTTGTTATCTTTCTCCACAGGTCTTGAGCTGAAAGCAAGTAAGCTGATCATGAGGATCAGACTTTGACACACATATTAAAAATCAAAGTGATCGTAAATCAAAATAAGTGTTTCCTTTGTCCCAATAGCTGCAAATATTCAGTGTAACTTAAATTGCAGAGAATTACTGAGCACTGCACCTGAACTTTATTTCCCCTAAGTGGAAGGTTTCATCTTTCATTTTAAAATTTGCCTTTGTGATTGAGTAAACATAGATGACTTCTACACCTGCTTTGGAGGACTCTCCCCCATGACTGAAGATGAAAACACCTGGTTTTCACATAAAGTGAGAACACTCTCTGTGGAGACATCTTTTATCATTGTCTTTCTGCCACAACATTTTTTCCTGTATTATTTAAGTTCTGACTGTATCAGGTCATCAGCTGTGAAGTCGTTTGTCAGAAAGCTGGCTTAAACTAATCAAATACAAAAGATTACAGCCTCAACATTAGGGAATATCAGTGCAGGAAATCTGCTCAGTGCCACCTGTTCTCCTACAGCCATATAGCTCTGGAATACACCATTGTCACTGTTAGTAGCAAGCCATAAGATTTGTACTGAATTTGCACTCCCTCAGGACAGAAGTTTGCCAGGCTTACTCTGTCCAAGATTTACTGACCTATCTGCAGGTTTTCTTTTGCTTGGTGTCCTGGTTTCACTGGGGGTAGAACTAATTTCTTCTTAGCATCTGATACAATGCTGTTATTTGGATTCAGTATGAGAATGATGTTGATAACACACTGATGATTTAGTTGTTAAGCAATGTTTACCTAAAGTCAAGGACTTTTCAGTTTCCCATGCTCTGTCAGTTGAGGAGGTGCACAAGAAACTGGGAGGGACCATAACCAGGACAGCTCAAGCCAAACTGGCTAAAGGGATATTCCACACCACAGATTAAGCCCACCATATAAACTGGGGAAAACTGGCCAAGAAGTGCTGATCACTGCTTTGGGACAGGGTCAGCATTGGCCAGTGGGTGGTGAGCAATTTTATTGTGCATTACTTTTTCTTGAATTTTACTCCTCTCTCTTCCTCTTCTTTTCATTATCATTTTTACTATAATATTTTACTTTATTTCAGATATCTATTAATATATATTTCAATAATTAAATTATTCTTACTTCAACCCATGGGTTTAATGTGAGGTGTGGGAAAAAGAGTAGGGAGCAAGCAGATACAAGGTATTTAGCTGTCATCTGGGGTTGCTCCAAGATAGTTGCTTTACCAGTATTTTTAATTATCTGTTCACTATAGCTAATTTGTTTCATTTTTTTTGATTTTTGTATGATATCACCATAGCTTTACAAACCTAGCATAATAATGTAACATAGGAAATACAAGCCTGCCATGCAGAGGTCTTAAGAGGCAAAGACAAAGAATGTGATATGGAGGAGAATGGGACAAAAAAAAAAGGGCACAGATTGGCTCTGGAGGCTGCACAGCTGTAAACAATTCCACAGTACTCCATTAAAGAAATGCAGACCTAGAGATGGCCAAAACTAAGCTTTGTAGTAGCTCAGAATACAAAGAAATACTACCTAAAATACATAAAAAGTACCAAGTGTGCTAAATTGTGATTAGCATGAATCTGCAGATGAACAAAGAACCAAGATATACAAGCATATTAGCTAAAATCTAAAAACAACTGCATCCTTGAGTGAAGAAGAAATCATTACCATGAACATCACACCTCAGTGATGGACTTCAAGTGCTGACAACTCATTGTTAACCTCCTTACTAGAATAAAAACACTGACATTAGGACCAGAGGAGCAGCGGAAAGGTGAGTATGACATCAGGAACAGGACAGAAAGCGCATGTGTACAATTTTAGCTATCTTATTATCCCTGCTTTTATTGTAATGGCTCCATCTGGACTAACTATTATTCAATTCTTAAATTTCACTTACCTAAAGACTTTTTGGCTTTTTAGATACCTATGCATATGTGTACCTCAGGTGCATTTTCTCTTTCCCCATGAAAAGAGATTTTGAGCATAAAATCATGGTTTCTGAAAGTTTGATTCTCACTGGGAGCACCACCATGGGTTACACTAGTTTACTGGAAAGAAATTCAAGTAAAACCAAGAAAACAAAACAAAACAAAACTCAAAATTATTTTCTACTGCAAAAACAAAAAGTACAAACAAGTATTAAACTTGGGGCACAAAAGTCCAACACTGTTGAATTTTCATAGTAAATATTTTATTTCTTCCACTTTATAAAAATCCTTCCATTCTCTTTTAAGTGTATATTTAAGATTAAAAGATTCTTCAGTAAAACAATGCCAGCTAACAAGTTAGTTTATTTTGCTTCACCAGAATATCCCTACCTGAATGGCAGTCCCATAAAACTGTAGTTTTGATACAAAACCAAGAGGGACTGAGGTCCTGAGAGTTCTTCTGGAAATGTCAATGGTAATGGCATTTATTCTGGGCCTAATGTTCTAGAAATTAAATCCTCCCAAAAGTCCTCTGGTAACATTTATGTCACAACATATGTGGCAGGACTGAAGGAATGAAACTATCCTTAGACTAGTTTAATCCTGCTGGATTGAACTAGTTTCATCGCTGTGAACTGCAATCCAAAAGTCATTAGGGCACCAGAAAGATGTGTGCTGCCATCCCTAGTTCTTTGTCAGAAATCAGAAGCTTCATTCTAAGCAGCATTCCAGAAATGTTTGAAAAAGGCTGATGAAAACCCATGTAACAGTTAAGTCCAGTGACAGCCCTAAAAAACAGTATGGTAGCCTCAGATTTCTCAGTCCCTGCTTAGGATAAAAAAAAAAAGAACACCAATCACAGCTTTAAAAGAATTCACAGTTGTCAAGAAAAATAAGCCAACATTTTTTCTTTTTAGTATTTGCATTTTCTGTAGTCATTTACATGAACACAGCATGGTGTAAAATCTCCCCAAATGCTGAGGAAAAGGAGAATTTTGAATTGTAGCCTTGTTTACTGATTTTAAATAAAACAAAAGTACATGACTGTCTCTGGAAAAGCAGTCAAATGCTTCAAAAGCACACACATATATTCAGATACATAGTGAGGTGCTACCTATAATTTTAAGACTCTAGGGTAGGCTTCAAAGGAGTGCAGGTTCCTCATGTAAACAGTAGGGAAATGGAAAAAAAAACCTGGTCTTTCTGAAGAGTGATTGAGAACATTTAAATTAAGCCTAGCTGTTGCTTTATTTGTGCACCTTTAATCACCTTTAAAAGGACATATCCCTGTTCTCCACAGAGGACACGTGTTACTGAGGTACCAAATGTAGGTATCATGACAAATTTTGACTGTAGGTACTGAAAATAATTTTCTCATTCTGCCACCATAGTACCATAGTGTAACCAAAAATTCAGCTCACTCTGGATAAGAAGAAATTGTAAGTAGCATTTTTTTGTCATTTAAGCACACAAGATGGATATGAAAAATGCTTATACATTCCTATCTTATATTATACAATGAATATTTGGCTGTTTCAAGCAGTGGAAGTGTATTATTTCCTTTGGAAGATGGCTTACAACATAAAGGTTTTTGCATAAAAGGCAATTTTGATTTCTGTTATCCTATTTAATATAATCACAAGAGATATTCTTTTTATCATGAAAAATAAGTCCAGCAATATTTGTTGTGCTAATGAGCCTATATTTTCAGAACTATATTTGCATGTACTCAACCAC